TATTCTGTTTGGACATGACGGAATCAGGGAATCATGGAATTCTTTTGGTTGGGAAAGTTCTCCAAGAGATGGAATCCAACCATTCCCAGCCCTGGGCAGCTCATTCCAACCCTTCACAACCTTTTCCATGCAGGAATTTTCCCTGAAATCCAACCCAACCCAACCCAACCCAAACATTCCCTGGCCCATCCTGAGGCCGTTCCCCCTCCTCCTGTCCCTGTTCCCTGGGATAAGATCCCAAATCCCCGCTGGCTGTCCCCTCCTGGCAGGGAGTTGTGCAGAGCCAGAAATTCCCCCTGATCCCCCTTTTCTCCGGGATGAGCCCCTTCCCATCTCCCTCAGGAATTCTCCAGCCCCTTCCCATCTCCCTCAGGAATTCTCCAGCCCCTTCCCAGCTCCCTCAGGAATTCTCCAGCCCTTTCCCAGCCCCATTCCCACTCTCCAGCCGCTCCCCACATTCCCTTTTCCCGCTGTTCCTCACCCAGAGCGTCGTTCGCTCTCCTCAGGAAAGCCATGGACGAGATTTGCACAAAATCATCCGCGACCCAAACGCTGTCGAATTCCTGGCCCTTGGCTTGGTGCACGGTCCCGAGGAGATAATCTGGGAAAAACCAAGGGAAAAGGGATCGGTCTTGGCAGCAATCCTGGAATTTCGTGGTTCTGTTTCCGGATCCATTCCCCTTCTCCCGAATTCCCATCAGGAGCAAAGCTCCTCTCTGGGGAATCCGGGAGGATGAAGGGAATTTTGGACTGAGGGAGATTCCAGCCACATTTCCAAATGGGAATGCTCAGGATTTGAGGAATTTTGTCTCCTCAAATTCCAACAGGAATCCCAAATGGGCAGGGATTCCACATCCCAGGCTGCTCCAAGCCCCAATATCCAGCCTGGACTTGGACATTCCTGGGATTTGGGGCAGCCACAGCTTCTATGGGAATTCCCAAATCCCACCCCAATCTCCCCTTTTCCAATCTGGAGCCATTCCCTGACTCCTGCCCCTCCAGGCCTTTCCCAAATTCCAGCTCTCCCGGAGCCCCTCCAGGCCCTGGAATGTGCTGGAAGCTGTCCCTGGATTCCAGAACATTCCCAGCTCTCCACAGCAGACAATTCCCAATCCCAAATCCCAAATCCCAAATCCCACCTCCTTTCTCCCTAAACAAACCCAACTCCACCCTCCCGTGACACGATCCGGGATTTTCCCGGGATTCACCTGCCAGGGATTCCTGGGAAACGTGGCTGTCCTTGATCCTCCTCAGCAGCTCCGGGATCCGTTCCCGGTATTTTTCCACGATGGAAATTTTCCCTTCCAGGTCTCGGTCCTGAACGCAGGCGGCGAATTCCCGCAGTGCCGGGAAGCCGCCCGACGCCTCCCAGCGCCGGATGAACGGATCCTCTATCTCCAGGTTGGCTGCAGGGACCAGGGGTAGTTACTCCTTTAATTAATCAATTCCATAGTAATTAATTGGAATTAATTAGTTTTAATTTCTCGGAATTAAGAAGATTTTAATTGATTGGAATTAATTCTATTTTAACGCGTTGAAATTCATTTAATTCGTTAAAATTAATTAGATTACACTTCATTGAAATTAAATTTTAATTCAGTGGAATTAATTACATTTTATTCAATGAAATTAATTAAAGTTTAAGTCGTTGCAATTAATTAGATTTTAATTCAGTGAAATTATAGATTTTAATTCAGTGAAATTAATTAAATTTAAATTAATTTAAATAAAATAATTTAGATTTTTTTTAATTAGTTGAAATGTATTACATTTACTTCATTAGAGTGAAATGAATTTGATTTTCATTAATTAGATTTTAATTAATTGGAATTAATTAATTTCAATTTATCAGAATTAATTAGATTTTAATGGATTGGAATTAATTCAATTTTAATGCACTGAAATTCATTGAATTCTTTAAAATTACTTGGATTTTACTTCATTGAAATTGAATTTTAATTCAGTGGAATTGACTGCATTTTACTTCACTGAAATTAATTAAATTTTAAGTCATTGCAATTAGATTTTAAGTCATTCCAATAAATTAAATTTTAAGTCGTTGCCATTAATTAAATTCTGTGTCATTGCAATTAATTAGATTTTAATTCAGTAAAATTAAGGAAATTTAAATTAATTTAAATAATATAATTTAGATTTTTTTGAATTAATTGAAATGTATTACATTTTACTTCATTAGAGTGAAATGAATTTGATTTTCATTAATTCGATTTTAATTAATTTGAATTTATTAATTTAATTAATTTAATTCTAATTCATCAAAATCAATTAGATTTCAATTCATTGAAATCAATTAGATTTTACTTCACTGAAATTGATTACACTTTAATTATTGAAATTAATTAGATTTTTTATTAATTGGAATTAAAGTCATTGCAACTAATTAAATTTTAATTTATTGAAAATAAATAAATTTTAATTCATTGAAATTAATTTAAGTCATTGATATGAATTAAATTTTACTTCATTAAAATAAATTAGATTTTAATTCATTGAAATTAACGTGATTTTAATTCAGTGAAATTAATCAAATTTAAAGTCATTGAAAACAATTGGATTTTAATTAATTAAAATTAATTTAATTAAAAAAATAATTTAACTATAATTAATTAAATAAATTTAATTATTTAAATTAATTAATTCAATTATTTTAATTTAATTAAATTATTTTTATTTTATTTTAATTAATTAATTAAATATAATTTAAAATAATTTAATTTAAAATTAATTTAATCATTGAAATTAATTAAATTTTACTTAATTGAAATCAATCGGATTTTAAGTCATTGAAATTATTTAAATTTTAATGCATTAAAATTACTTATGTTTTAATTAAAATCAATTAGATTTTACTTCATTGAAATTAATTAGACTTTAATTCAGTGAAAATAAGTTAAATTTAAATTAATGGAAATGAAATAAATTTTATGAATGAAATAAAAATTAAATAAATCCATTGAAATTAATTAGATTTAAATTCATGAAAACAAATTAAATTTAAATTTGTTAAAATCAATGAACTTTTACTTCACTGCCATTAATTAGATTTTAATTAATTGAGATTAATTGCCTTCCCTCACCGTTTTTCCTGAGCTCTGGGGGTTGGCTCAGCTTCCAAATGTCCAAAATTCTGCCCAGCCCGAAACGCTGCAAACCCTGAAATAGAGAAAAATGGGATTAAAAATGAAATTAAGTGGAATAAAATTAAAAATGAAATTAAGTGGAATAAAATAGAATAAAATTAATTGAAATAGAATAAAATGAAATAAAATTAAATGGAATGGAATAATGTGTAATTAAATAAATGGAATAAAAGGGAATAAAATGGAATAAAATGGAATTAAATAAATGAATTAAACTGGAATTAATGAAATAAAATGAAATTAAATAGAATAAGATGAAATAAAATGGAATAAAACGGAATAGAATGAAATAAAATTACATGGAATGGAATAAAGTGGAATTAAATAAATGAATTAAACTGAAATTAATGAAATTAAATGAAATTAAATAGAATGAAATAGAATAAAATGAAATAAAATTCCATCTTTCCCTGCCTCATGCTTCCGAAAAATGGGATAAATTATCCTTAAAATGGGAGAAATTGTTCTAAAAATGGATTGAGGCCTGCACAGGCTGGGGAAGAACGGCATACCTGAGAGGAAAAAATTCCCATTTTTTCCTCAAAATTCCCACTTTTTCCTGGAATATTCATTTAAAACCTTGGAGAGACTTGGTCTATCCCTCTTTCCCTGCCTCATCCCTCAGAAAAATGGGATAAATTGTCCTAAAAATGGGAGAAATTATCCCAAAAATGGGATAAGGCCTACTCAGGTTGGAGAGTAACAGCTCCAAATAACAGCCCTGAGAGCAAAAAATTCCTGTTTTTTCCTGAAAATTCCTGATTTTTCCTGGAATATTCATTTAAATCATTGTAGACACTTTTTCCATCCCTGTTTCCCTGCCTCATCCCTCAGAAAAATGGGATAAATTATCCTAAAAATGTGAGAAATTATCGTCAAAACAGGAATGAGGCCTGCACAGGCTGGGGAAGAACGGCATCCCTGAGAGCAAAAAATTCCTGTTTTTTCCTGAAAATTCCTGCTTTTTCCTGGAATATTCATTTCAATCCTTGGAGAGACTTGGTCTATCCCTCTTACCCTGCCTCATCCCTCAGAAAAATGGCAGAAATTATCCTTAAAATGGGAGAAATTGTCCCAAAAATGGGATGAGGCCTGCACGGGCTGGGGAAGAACGGCATCCCTGAGAGCAAAAAATTCCTGTTATTTCCTGGAATATTCATTGAAATCCATGGAATTTGACTGGGAAGCCCCTCTGGGCGCTTCCCCTCACCCCAATAATGTGGATTTTGGCTGGGGGGTCTCTCCCAGAGAATTCCACGGCGTCCTCAAACACGTTCCAGTTGCTGCGGGACAGCAGCGCCACCGACCCGGCCCAGCTTCCCCTCACGTCTCCTGCCAGAGAAATTCCCAGTTATCCACAGGAATTCCCACTTATCCAAAGCCATTCCTGCCAGGAATTCCCAGTTATCCACAGCCATTCCTGCCAGGAATTCCCAGTTATCCACAGCCATTCGTGCCAGGAATTCCTGGTTATCCACAGCCATTCGTGCCAGGAATTCCCAGTTATCCACAGCCATTCCTGCCAGGAATTCCCAGTTATCCACAGCCATTCCCTCCAGGAATTCCTGGATATCCACAGCCATTCGTGCCAGGAATTCCCAGTTATCCACAACCATTCCCACTATAATATTATATATATTATTTATAACTCCAAAACATAAATATTATAGAATAATTCGATTATTTTATTAAATATTTTAAATACTAATATTATTAATT